TTATGAAAACATGTAGGTAACAGAGGAATTTCAAGCAGTGAACGTATCAGTTAAGACAGATACATGGAGATCTGAGGTAGTTATTTTCCGTGGTTATGATATGTCATGTTAATGCACATTGTAGTTGTGGCATGTAGTGGTGGACAATAACTAACTTCTGTATCAGCCAATTGAAAGAACTTCCAAATTACACTGATGAAAATCTCTGTACCAATAATGAAACGGAAGTGCAGTGTAATAATGCAATATAGCTTGGTGAATCGAAAATAACATTGTTTTATTGCAACTGATTTTGAATTAGGTATTCAGCAAGAGAAATCAATATTTGCCGAAGATGGTGTTCTTATTGCATTTATCTTAATTGTATTGACTTTTTCAATACGATTTTTGTAGATTGTTGCTGCAGGTGTTGATCCTAAGCAACAAACTTTTCTCTTTTGGTAGGTCTTGGATATATAAATGTTTTGACGATTGCTTGTGTAAATCTCTTTTGTTAAATATAAATGCTTTGAGTTCATCTTGGTTCAACACAGTTCAAAGGCTGCACGACGTAGAAAAAGGAAGAGCCAAATGCAAAGCTCAAGTCATGTGCACCCTCTCGTCTTAGAGTCAGTGGTGCTGGGATCAATCAATGAGCCTCGAGACAAGACTGATGGTAACTTAAAGAAATCTTGATATCTTTTGCTGCTATTTGTACTTTCCGTGTATTCAGTCATGTTGTCATGAGACATAAATTAAACTATCTGAATGATGGTACTGAATGTCTCTGAGTCCTAGATATGATTGGAGACAACTGCTTTGTTATCATGCTGATGTGGTAAACTCTTGCCCTTTTTCGGATTTTTCACAATGAATGACAAGGCCCTGGCTTTCCTGAGCCTAAGTCTGTTCACAGTTTAGTAATTGCTTGGAGCCAAATCACAGCCAAAAAATTGTTATGTAGCAAATTGAATTGACAAGTCAGATTCTGTTTTCAATTTTATTTTTCAAAGAAATGTGTTGTTACGTTTCGGTTCACCATGGGATTTTGCAGACATCCAATAAAAGAGAACATGTTAAACCTGGAGTTCATATAACTAGTTTCTATGTGAAAAATTGCGTCAATTGATCAGGTTTATATCTACTCATGTGGATTCCTTGAAGTCAGAATTGCTGTTCATGAGAATCTGTATCCCACTTACCTTTCAAAGTTCTTAATGGCCCATTAAATTGTGTTGTGTTATAGATCATAAATACAACCTACACATGTGTACATGGATATTAATATAATGGCCGTGTCTGCAGATATATTGGTGCATACATATGGATTTGAAAGGAAAAATGTAGCTAACTTTTTTGTAGGTATTGCAGAGAGTGGGGACCGCGATGCATCCAGTCCTAGAGTTTCATCAGCCACAACTCATTCATATGCTGAACCTGATTGTACTCAGACATTACCTGGAACCAACCTTGCACCTCCCGCATTACTACAATTTGCTAAGACAAGGAAATTATCAATTGAACGGTCTGAACCCAGAAAGTAAGTGCACTTGCCTGATTTTAACTAGAAGATTTTCTAAGACAATTGCAAATTATAACAGACTAGCTTCCTGGAGACAATTGCAAGTTATAACAGACATGTGACAAGTATTATCCTAGTGAGCATTCTGTTGGTTTTTTGGAGCCATTTTTCTGTATGTCATTTTGTTGTTACTGCTTCACTTGAACTCAGTACCTTCTTACTGGAATCTCATAAACATATTACTAACATAAATTATAAGTTCATCATGATTTAGCGATCCCTCGTTGACTTACTATATTTGTTGGGTGACATAGTGAAGACTCCTAAGGTCTTAGGCATCCCCCTTATCATTCTCTATTTGGATTTGGTTTGAGCTAACTCCAACAAAGTCAAATGTCCCCGTATCTAAGCTTCCTGATCATCTATAACTTATATTCTATTCTCGTGATAGGTACAAGCTGACCATATATAATAATTGTTCTAAATTGATGTTGAAGTTTATTGCAGTAACTTCTTTTTCTTGTTTTGGTTCCAGTCGTGCACTCTTGCAGAGGCGGCAGTTCTTTCACTCACATAGAGCTCAAGTAAGCTATCATGATTATATTTTCCTCATCATGTGTCAACCTTTGTACATAAAAATAGTCATACTTCTTCAGTTTCTGCAAACCTATGCAATGAGGTGCAATTCAATTTGGTCAAAAACTGAAAAAAATTCAACCCTTCGGTGGTCTTTCTGGATGACTAAGAAAGAAGTTTTGGGTCTCTAATTATTTTGTTTGCCTTTTGTTTTCAAAGGATCTTAATTAGGACGGGAACTGGCTTTCATAGTATTTATTGTAGCTTCGAATTTTAAGTACAAATACGACATGTGCCCTGATTCTGTACTTGTGTGCTAGCAGACCTGCAAATATTTGGGCACTTATTATCTTGTTAACCAAACAATAGGGTATACTTGCTGTCTCGTCCTCTCTCTCTCTAGATAAAAGAGAAGGGAATGTCTCGAGAAAGAGATTTGATTAAAGAAGATACAAAAGAACGATGAACACAAGCTATCTTATTTCTAACTATACAAGGTCTCTTATAGAGATATGTCCAACGGTAAAAAGATTACAAAGAAGGAATGAAATCATTCTAGAAAGGAAATATTATAACCAAGGATAGGATCTACTTGTTGCCTTTTATGATTCTTCCAGAGCTTTATTTTAGGTAACAGAGGGCTGATGACAGGCTGATTTATTGGCCTTATTATCTCTCTCTCTCTCCTTTTTTTTTTTTTTTTTTTTTTTTTTT